TCCCATCCTCAGCAATGTGAATCTTCACAGCCTTGCCTCCAGTGTAAGATGGACGAGAAAGGAGAGTTACCTTTTGCTGGACACCAGCAAAGGTCAAGAGGAGCTTCTATTGTTGCCCACGATCAATCAGACAAAATTCAGATTCAGCTGGACTTGGTTTCAAATGCCCTCACTGACTGCTTTGCCTCGAGTGAGCGTTTGGTGGAAAAGCCCTTGAGAGACCTCTAGATTAAAGCCATGCCCCTGATACTCAAGTTTCAAGAGATGAGGGAGCCCCCACCAATGGTCCCTCCTGCAGCTAAAGCCCCTGGAAGGCCCTTTCAAACCAGCGCAGGGGCTATGATGTTTTTCCACGTTGCGGATGGAACAGCCACACTCAGCCCTCCTCCTCACCAACCCCGAGCTCCAGCTGCAGAATCAATGCACTTTCCCAGCTGTGCCCTGGCCGGGTCCCAAGCCCGCCCCAGGGTGGAGGCATCCCGCATGCAGAGCTTGCGAACCAACTTACCCAAAAGCTGACGTCTTTGCTGGACCTGACTTGGCAGGCGAGGCGTTCCAGAAGACACCTCTGTCCCCAGGCTCAGCCAAGGCTTCTGGACGCTGCCGTCTCTTTCAAGTGCTCCTCCGCAGCCAGCCAGCACTTTGATGGGAGAGTCTGCACGGGCGGATCTGTCCCTTAGGGTCCCAGGCCTATTAAGGGGTACTCAGTATCAAGGGCAAAGGGGGTCTAAGAGCCATGGCCGGGGCCAAGGGGGCGGTATCAAGAGGCACCTGGAGACCCAAGGCAGAGGGAAACGCTCTTGGAAACAGAGTCAGAGTCCCAGGAATTTGAAAGAAAAAGAAAAGAAAAAAAAGAGGCGTTGTAAGAAGGAGATGTCGGAGTGGGCAGTTCTGGGGACAAAACAAAAGATGGGCTTGGGCCCGCCTGATCCGGAGTAGGAGCTCAGGAGGCTCGCGGCTGAGGCGCCGCGAGCCCGCCCCGCGCCCAGCTCTACCTGAGCGGCCGCCCGCGCCCGGGCGCTCCTCCGCGCGGCGCTGCGCACCACCTCCCGGAGCGCGCACAATGAGGCGCTTTCAGACGTGGCTGCGGTCCTGGAGCGAGCAGGCAGGCAGGCAGGAGAGTGGGAGGGAAGGAAGGAGCCCGTTGGCGCCCGGTTCCCGCTATCCTCCCCACCCCCCGGTTGGGGTGCCACGCCCCGGAGGAGGGGCGGCCACGGGAGGGACCCTGGTGAAGGCCAGGCACAGGTGGGCTGGGGGTGGCCGTGGGAGGCGCAGCCGAGGGTGTCAAAGGGCGCACTTAGGGTCGCCTCTCCTCTCACTAATCCCCATAAAAGTTGTCTCCTCTCCAGTCTCCGGGAGGGAGGCCTCTTGGGCACAAAAGGCCCTTGTGAAGGAAACTGAATCTTAATCTTGCCCCTCCTCGCCCTCGGTGGCATCCTCGCCACGAAGTGACTTGGAATCCAAACTGCTTCCCAAGTCCCCAGCCTTGGCCCGACGCCTAGACCGACGCCAGGACCGAGAGACCTCGAGGCCGGGGCACCCTCGACACCTCCCAAGCTGAGCTGGGAAGGGCCGGGAGGCCATGGGCCGGTCTGTACCCCTCGTCCAGTCCCTCCCTGCTCCAGCACTTTCACAGCCTGGAGGCACAGGTTCTGATAAATACAGGACGCATTTTTTTTTGTTTGTTTGTGTTTTTCCTCTGCAAATAATAGGGCAAAGCATACAGCATTCCAACATTTTGAAATCGTGGTGGGATAGCAAACGAGAGTTACCGCTGCTCAGGGTATGAGTTAGTGCAGCCTGCCCAGGATGCGGTTTGGCTGGATAAACCAAGATCCTTACCGACCATGAGCTTTCTAAATTAGTAATTCCTTTCTAGGATCCATGTTAAAGAAATAAATCCAAGGCAAGGATTCATACACAAACACAGAAGTGTTACCATGGCAAAAAAAAGAAAAAAATGTGTGTATATATATTTGCATATATGTATGAGTTGGATGGGGCTCCACCACAGTGGGTTTTGGGTTTTTTGTTTGTTTGTTTGTTTATAGCCATATAGATAGAACCAATGCAAAGATTTAAAACACATGTGCTAAGAAGGCACCAGTGAGTACTTCTGTATAGTGGGTTTATAGACAGTTGCTATTTTCTTCAGGTTTCTGTAATTTTTATTTTTCCCCAAATCAGAGAGGCACAAACCGCTCTGTAAAAGCATGAAGAGAGAGAGAGAGAGAGAGAAGACGACAGAGGATTGCTGTTACCCTTAGATGAAGGAACCTAAGTGGGGTTCTGGAACCTCCACAAACAAGGCAGATAGATGTTTTAGGCCACTCCACATGTGATTCAAACAGAAACTGGGCTAAGCATTTGGCAAAATCAGAGATCTCTCCTCCCTAAAATACTAGTTATCTATAAACCTCGACTTTGCTGTGAGTTACAGCTGTGTATTTTGCACCTTTTCCTCTTGGAGCTACACTGTATGATTCAGACTCAGAAGCCACCAGCATCTGATCTGTAAATAACTTTGTATTCACCGGACACAGTTGTAATTTTCCAGCCTGTGGCTTCCACATGCAGTGGAGATTCCACCAAAAGCTCACCTTTGTTTGGGGCCTGGCCAGGGGATGTTGCCAAAGAGCTAACAAAAGCTCCAAGGTCTCAGGGCAGTGCCTTGGCAAAGCAAGGATGCTGGAGACTAACACGAAATGTGTGTGTGCAGCTCGGGCTCCCCGCTGTTCCCGCCCTCCAACCCTACATAAATCCACAGGCACCCTGCCATTCTCAACATGTTTAATTAGAAAGTTACAAAACATCCTGGGTTCTTTACACGATTTAGCATTAAAGTAATAAAATGCAAAGCAATGTTTACGTGCATGTTGAACCCTCCCTATTCTGTGATTTAAACCAGAAGCCATTTTCCAGGGTTTAAATCTAAAGAAAAATTGTTTAAATATGAAAGGAAAAGTAGAGGGGCCAGTGTTAGGGAATTTTTCTGCTTGAATACTTAAGATAGCTTTGTTTCCTAAATTTTTATTTTGGTCAGCCTGAAAAAAAAAGGAGAGCTTTGAAATAAGAATCTCAAAGGTAAATTGAGGCCCACACAGGAGCATGTTGATAAGTGGGCATGGAAGAATGGGTCATGAGGTCACGTCCTTCTAATGCCAATGACATTGTTGCATCAGCAAGCAGCCCGTCATCCTCTGTGGAGACTACATGTTTCTACAGGACAAAGTGGGGTTGACAAGTCTTCAGTGTATGAGAGGCCTAATGGGGCAGCTCTTTTCCAGAAACCCCCTTAGCCTCGAGGGTGATCCCTGCACTGTGGGTCATCCTGCTTGGGGCCAGACTGGATGGCACTGTCCGACCTAGCCTCCTCTTCACCCTCTCGCTGCTCCCTGTGTGTCCTGTAAAGGTGCCCTCTGATGGGCACCCAGTGCCTCAGTCAAGGGAAATCAAGTAGCTGGGCTTCCCGCTAGCCCTCCAAATAAACTGTGGCTGGAGGCGGTGGGAGCCAATACCAACAACAGCAACTCTGTCATCCACGACCTTTGCAGGAAGGGGGAGGGCTGTCAAGGAAGAGGAGAGGCAAATGTCTAGGCTGCTGGGTGAGGGCCAGAGAGAAAGGACCTGTTGTTACCATCCTTACTTCCCTCCCTGTGGCTCAGGGGATTGTGAATGAAACAGCACTTCTGACTGTAGCCTGCAGCCCCAGGGCACAGGCAGAGGGCAAGAGGCGGAGCAAAGAGCCAGCCACAGAGGGGCAGAGATAAAGGGCTGTTCAGGGAGCTGATGACAGATGACTGTGTGTTACACTGAGGGCAGCTGGACGCTCCTACTGTCCTCAAGTCACCCACCCTCACACACATGGGCATTCTTGCACTTGTATTGCTCTCGCCCCTAATTAAAGGCCTCTCAGTTCTGGAAATCAAAGTTCTAGATTAGATGCCCACAGTGGAAAGTACTAGTGACTTGCATATTTATCACTGAGAGCCCTAAAAAGATTAAGAAGTGAATTACATTAAAAACCCATTGCCAAAAAAAAAAAAAGAAGGTGGGGACCAGGTTTGCTGGTCCAATAGAGCCTGGTGTAACCACTGAGACTATGGCCCCTAGCTGCCCTTCAGGTCTGGAATTGAACCCACAACTGTGGTTTCCAGCCAAACAAAGTACAGGCATGTGAGTTAAACATTTACCTCAAGTAGACACACGCCCTGGAGAGAACAATCATGGGAGAAGGAAGGGAAGGGCTGCTTATGCACAGGGAGATAGCTCAGGGTGCAGAAAAGTATGAAGGGATGGAAACTGGGAGGAGGTAACTATGGGGAGGAAGTGGGAGGGGAGCTGCTGCATTGTAAATTTTGGTCAATGACATGAGACAAAGTATATGTGAACTGCTGTATGAAAAGTGAATTTACTCTGTAAATCTTCACCCAAATCCTAATAAAAAAATAAAAAAAAAACCCGTTGCCATTGCATCCACTCAACAACCCTGTAGGACAGAGCAGAACTGCCCCATAGGATTTCCAAGGCTGTTATCTTTACAGAAGCGACTGCCACGTCTTTCTCCCGCAGAGCGGCTTGTGGGTTCAAACTGCCGAACTTTTGGTTAGCAGCTGAGTACTTAACCACTGCACCACCAGAACTCCTGGTGGTTTACCACAGGGGAGAGAAATGCATAGCATGTTTCTTAGTTCAAGGCAGGCAAAGTCTCTCTTGACCAGAGATGGAACTCTTTCCTAGATACGGTAACTGGCTAATTTTCTCCTGAAATTCAGGTTTAGGAGGGAAAAAAAACCTGAAAAGTTCTCAGATCTTTCCAAAAAGTATGATGATGTTATAGGTGCTTGGGAGATAGGGAATCTGTAGAAAGAAAAACTGGAAGAAAGTGTTGTCTTTGAGGGGGAAGACATACAGGCCAGCACGTGTCCACCGGGCTGTCTTCGGAAATGTCAGGAGATAAGCACTCTCAGAAGACAACGGTGAGGTGGAAACGGGTCTTCTTAGGATAAGTGCTCTTTATACAGTTCTCCCTGGGGCACAGGCGTTACAGGGATGGTGGTCACCACTTGATTTTGAAACACAAACATTTTGATTCTTTCAAACAGCCAGAGGAAGACAAGCAGGATGCTGACATACTGGACCCAGGCAAACTTTATCATCTCCCAGAATCCTGGCTGGTAGGTGTAGACAGTTAAGGAGTCAAAAGAGGATAACTAAATGTTAAACTAAGGTTTTGCTCAGGCAGGAAATGGCAAAAATGTTCCAAATACCCTTAAGAGAACTGGGATAATAATAGATGATTAAGACATACATATGGATGATTCTGGCCTTGAATTGCTCAGGGAGAAGAGATGAACAGGAAATGAAAAATTTTTCCCCCATATGGACAGAAAGTAGACAGACACAAAGTCATTCCTGTGGGGCACCAGTGGTTCCGTGGTGAAATTTTCACCTCCCATGGAGAAGAGTTTGAGACCTGGCCAAGCCATGTTGTACGCAGCCACCACCCATCTGTCAGTACAGGCTTACATGTTGCTCTGATGTTGAAAAGGTTTCAGTGAAGCTTCCAGACTAAGACAGACTAACAAGAAAAGCCTGGTGATGTACTTCCATAAATCAGCCAATGTAAGCCCTGTGGGCCACAATGGCACAATCCGCGACCAATCATGGAGTGCACAGGCCTGGGCCACGTTTCATTCCACTGTATTCAGGCGACTCCAGGACAGTTCCGCTAGCGCTAGCGTGTGATAATCTAAGGCTCACCACATCTGTTCCTACTCAGGATAAGAAAAGAATGCTTTTTGGGGGTGGGGCAGGGGAAACTGAGCTACTGTTGGTTCACAGAAAGGATATGAAATGACTTCCACAGGGTACCGGATGACAGCATTAATCACAAACGGAGCTGCAGCAGCCCTGCCAACCAGCCAGATGGGGTTAGGGTCCATCAGGATAGTGGTGACTGCAATCAAATCACAAATCATTAATCCAGGGATGGCTCCTTTGGCAAAACATACTGAGTAGTTTTTAGTTCCCTAGTGCTGCTGTCACAGAAATATCACAGGTGGGTGGCGTCAACAAACACATTTATTCTCTCAATGCTTGGGAGGCTAGAAGTTCAAATCCAGCCAGTGCCGCTGGGGGATGGCTTTCTCTCTCTGTCTGCTCTGGGGAAGGTCCTCCTTGTCTTATCTGAGCTTCTGCTCCTGGGCAATCTTCTTGTGGTTTGGCATCTCTCTCCCTCCATCTCTGCTTCTTTCATTTGCTTGTTTAATCTCTTTTACATCTCAAAAGACAATGACTCAAAACATACCCTACACTAACAAGCACAACTCATTCCCAAATGGGATTATAACTATAAACACAGAGGTTAGGATTTACAACATACATTTTTTGGGGGATTCAATCCATAACAAGTGGTAAAACAAACAAACAAACAAACAAACCAATCTCTTGACCCCTGGGGCAAATTCTGCACTTTAGAATTTATCCCAAAGAAATAATTCAAAGAGAAAAGTGTTGAAAATATGCTCAATGTTATTAGCCATCAAGGAGAAGCAAATCAAAACCACAATCAGATACCACTTCACTCCCCTTAGAAAAGTGTTTTTTGTTTGTTTGTTTGTTTATTTGTTTTAAAAGGGAAATAACAAATGTTGGTGAGAATGCAGAGAATGGAACCCTCTTCCACTGCTGGTGGGTATACAAAATGGCACAGCTGCTGTGGAAGCAGTTCCTCAAAAAGTCAAAAATAGAGCTACCATTTAACCCAACACTCCCACTCTTGGGTGTATACCCCAGAAAATGTAAAGCAGCAATGTGGACAGACACATGTATACCAATGCTCACTGCAGTGCTGGTCACAATAGCAAAGAGGCGGAACCAACAACCCAAATGCCTATCAGCAGATGAATGGATAAACAAAATGTGGTACAGTAAGCCCCCAGGTTTAGAATGCCCGACAACTGGTGCTTAAAAAGGGACTGCCATTGAATTAAATATAATGGTTTATAATAAGGCCTGTAGGCACTACTTTGTGACATTCATGAAAACAATGAATGACTTCAGCGGTTCACCAGGTCAGCTCAAGGAAGGAGAATGCCCTCCACCTTTTAAGTCCACCATGTTGCTGTTAACACTGTGTTGAATATTTAAGGTTGTAAACGGCTTCTATTTCCCTCTTTTTACCCTTGTAACCATGCCTCCAAAGGGTAAATCCTGTGCAAGGGCTGGTGATGCATCAAAGAAATGGAAAACAATCACGACTGAAAATAAAGGGGAAAAAATAATGCAATCGGAAAGACGTGAAACACCATCGGTCATTGGAAAAAAGTTAAGGCTACAGTCAGTCAATGACTGGAACAATTTTAAAGGATAAAACGAGAATTATGCATGTGAAAGGCCCTACCCCAATGAAAGCGACAATTATTCATAAGCAATGCAGTGGTTTAATTATAAAATGGGAAGGCTATTGATAATTTGGTTAGACTATCAAAATCAGCATAATACGCCTATTGGCCTTACTTTAGTGCAAGAAAAGGCTCTAAGCCTTTTCAGTGATTTAAAAGCTGCACACACAGCAAGTGAAGGTGATTGTGATCAAGAATTTCTTGTGAGTAGGGGTTGGTTCAGTCATTTCAAAGTGAGGGCAAATTTACACAGCATTAAAGTGGAAGGTGAAACAGCAAAGTGCTAATGTAAGTGCTGAGAGTGATTTTCCTGAAATGCTGAAAAACATTATTGAGGAGGGAGATTATTTGCCAGACCAAATATTTAATGTAGACAGGACTGGCTTACTTTGGAAACAAATGCCTGAAAGCACCTACATTTTGAAACAGGAAAAAACTGCACCAGGGCATAAGACACTGAAGGATAGGCTAACGTTACTGCTTGGAGGCACCACGTCAGGGATCTCAAGCTCAAGCTGTGCCCCACTCCTTAAATCTGACAGCCGTTCCACATCTCAAGGCACATGTGCCCATTACAAAAGCCATCTCTGAAGACTGGTTCTGGAAACATTTTGTCCCTGCTGTTGAACATTATTATGTTTTAGATGTTTTGGTGTGCTTCCAAGTATTTCTTAAATGTTTTATATGTACAGAAAGGTAAAATACATAAGAAATTTTATATACTATAAATTACATATAAACATTTTACTAAACCCCTCAAAAAACCAAACCTACTAACATCGAGTTGATCCCAACTCATAGCGACCCCTCCTTGGGTTTCCGAGGCAGTATCACTACAGAAGTAGATTGCCCAACCTTCCTTCTGAGGAGTGGCTGGTGGGTTTGAACTGCCACCCTTCTTGTTAGCAGACAAGTGCCTTAGCCACTATACTACCAGAGCTCCTTCTCACCCCTTGTTGTTGTTGTTGTTATGTGCCGTCGAGTCAAACCCGACTCATAGCGACCCCTCCTTGGGTTTCCGAGGCAGTATCACTACGGAAGTAGGATTGCCCAACCTTCCTTCCGAGGAGTGGCTTCTCACCCCTAGTAATCACTAATAAACTTTGGTCTCTATGTTGTTAGGCGCCATTGAGTCAGCCAGAGTGGTTCTATAGGACAGAGTAGAACTGGCCCAATAGGGTTGTCAAGGATGTTAAGTCTTTACATAAGCAGACTGCCTCGTCTTTCTCCCACGTAGTGCCTGCTGGATTTGAACCATTGTCCTTTCAGTTAAAAAAGCCGAATGCTTTAACCACTATGTCACCAGAGCTAACTGATGCTAAGTAAGAACTGTATGTATCTATTCTGGCTTACCTACAAATTAAAGACAGACTTAGGAACTGATCTTGTTCATAACCCAGGTACTGCCTGTACATACACACAATGGAATAGTACTGTCACACAGAGACGAAATCCTGATGCATGCAACACCACCTTGAAAACATTATGTTGACTAAAATAAGTCAATGACCAGAGGAAAAATAGGTTCTGACTTCACTAGTATGAAACACTTAGAATAGGCAAATGTACAGATATCAGTTTACCAGTCGGTTGATGGGCAGGAGAGAATGGGGAAAGAGGGAAATCTGTCTAGCTAGCATTGAGTTTTTGTATATGAAGATGGAAAACACAGAAAAAGATTATTAGTGATGGTTGTACAACACGATTGATTTTATTATTTTCGTTGAATTGTACAAGTGACAAATGTTGCACTGGCAAATGTTGTGTCACCTATATAATTTTATTTTCTTGTTATTTTTGAGGATATACACAGCAAAACATATACCAATTCAATTGTTTCTACTTGTACAACTGGGTGACACTGATAACATTCTTTTGAGTATGCAACCATTCTTACCCTCCTTTTCTGAGTTGTTCCTCCCCCATTAACATAAACTCACTGCCCTGTAAAATTCCTGTCTAATGTTTCAAGTTGTTGTTGTTAATTTGATCCCATGTAGAGAGTTCTTAAAAGGGCATAATGCTCAAGACAGACCTTTTTTCCACTTGTTGTTGTTGTTGTTATGTGCCATCGAGTCGGCCCCGACTCATAGCGACCCCTCCTTGGGTTTCCGAGGCAGTATCACTACAGAAGTAGGATTTTTTCCACTAGTGAAGCTAAAATATCATTTGCTTTTAGAATGACTTTAGGGGACATTTTTGTTTTAAGGTTTAAAGATTATCTCAGGACAATAGTTTCAAGGGTTCATCTACCCTCCATGCCTCCAGAAAATCTAGAGTCCGTAAGAATTTAAAATTCTGTTCTACATTTTCCCCCTACCGATGAGGATTCTTCTATGGAATCTTTGATCAAAACATTCCGTAATGGTAGCTGAGCACCATGCAGTTCTCCTGGTCTCATGGCAAAAGAGGCACTTCTTCATGGAGCTAATTAGCCACACACACTCCACATCCTCCTCCTATTCCTGACTCTCCTTCTGTTGCTCCACGTGAATAAAGACCAACTGTGCCTTGTTCAGCAGCCTGCAAGTTTTTAAGACCCCAGGCACTATGCAATGAACTAGAAGGTAGAGCAGAAGCCTTAAGCACATTATTAGGCCAATTAACTGGGATGTCCCATGAAACCATGACCCTAAGTCTCCAAATCAAAAAAAAAAAAAATCCCATGAAGTGTTGAGTTATAATAAGCAGACTCAGTTGTCTATCACACAACTTTTGCCAATTCAACTTTTAACAGGTGTACACCTGACTGACAGCAATTACAATAATTGTCTATGCAACCCCACCCTTAATCAATGTTATTTTTCTATTGCTATTAATCCCTCCTTTTCCTTTCCCTCCCACCCCTGTTGTTATTGTTATGTGCCATTGACCCTACTCATAGTGACCCCCCCTTGGGTTTCCAAGGTAGTAGCACTACGAAGTAGATTGCCCAATCTTCCTTCCGAGCAATGACTTGTGGGTTTGAACCACCAGCCTTCTAGTTAGCAATCAAATGCCTTAGGCACTATGCTAGCAGAGCTCCCTCTCCCACCCCTAGTAATCGCTAATAAACGTTGGCCTCTATGATGTTAGGTGCCACTGAGTCAGTTCTGACTCCCAGCAACCCTATGTACAACAGAACGAAACAATGCCCAGCCCTGTACCACCCGCACAGTTACAGCCGTGTCTGAGCCAACTGTTGTAGCCACTGTGTCAATCCATCTCCTTGAGGGTCTTCCTCTTTTTTGCTGAACTTTACCAAGCACGATGTTCTTCTCCATGGACCAGTCCTCCTGATAATACTTCCAAAGTATGTGAGGTGAAGTCTTGCCATCTTTGTTAAGGAGCATTCTGGCTGTACTTCTTCCAAGACAGATTTGTTCATTCTTCTGCCATTCCATGGTATATTCAGTATTCTTTGCCAATACCATAATTCAAAGCCATCAATTCTTTGGTCTTCCTTATTCACTGTCCAGTTCTCACATGCATATGAGGTGACCGAAAATACCATGGCGTGGATCAGACACACCTTAGTCTCCAAAGTGACACCCTTGCTCTTCAACACTTTAAAAAAAGATCTTTTACGGCAGATTTGTCCAATGCAATATGTCATTTGATTTCTTCACTGCTTCTTCCATGGTCTCTGTACATTTTGCCTTTTCTTGTCTTTGTAAATTAGTGAGGTAATATTTGTCCTTTTGTGATTGTTTTATTTCACTTAGCATATGTTCAATCTCCATCCATATTGCAGCATGTATCAAGCAAAACTTCATTTTTCCTACTGGCTGAGTAGCATTCTGTTGTATGTATGTACCACATTTTCCATTCATCTGTTGATGGGCATTTATGTTGTTTCCACATTTTGGCTATTGTGAATAGTGTTGTAATGATCACTGGTATACAAACCTCTGTTTTAGTCTCTGCTTTCACGTTTTTTGTGTATTGTCATGGATTGAATTGTTGTTGTTGTTATTAGGTGCTGTGGAGTTGGCTCTGACTCATAGTGGCCCTATGTACAACACAACCAAACATTGCCCAGTCCTGAGCCATCCTCACAATCCTTGCTATACTTGAGCCCATCATTGTAGCTACTGTGTCAATACAACTCATTGAAGGTCTTCCCCTTTTTCACTGACCCTCCACTTTACCAAGCATGATATCCTTCCCCAGAGACTGGTCCCTTCTGACAACATGACCAAAGTAGGTGAGACAAAGTCTGGCCATTCTCACTTCCAAGGAGCATTGTGGGTGTACTTCTTCCAGGACAAATTTGTTTATTCCTCTGGCAGTCTATGGTATTTTCAGTATTCTTTGCTAACACCACAATTCAAAGGCATCAACTCTTCTTCAGTCTTCTTTATTCATTGTCCAGCTTTCACATGCATATGAGGTGACTGAAAATACCATGGCTTAGGTTAGGTGCACTTTAGTCTTCAAAGTGACATCTTTGCTCTTTAACACAAAGGGGTCTTTTGCAGCATGTTTACCCAGTGCAATATTACATCTGATTTCTTGATCCTTCCATGGGTACTGCTTGTGAGTCTGTAAAATGAAATCCCTGACAACTTCTATAAAGATAGAAGTTTATCGATTTATCATGATGTTGCTTATTGGTCCAGTTGTGAGGATATTCGTTTTTTTTCATTGAGGTGTAATCCATACGGAAGATTGTAGTCTTTGATCTTCATCAGTAAGTGCTTCAAGTCATCTTCACTTTCAGCAAGCAAGGTTGTATCATTTGCATTCTGCATGTTGTTAATAAATGTTCCTTTAATCCTGATGCCACATTCTTTTTCATATTGAATTGTATCCTCCAAAAATTATGTGTCAACTTGGGTAGGCCATGATTCCCAGAATTATGTAGGGATCCTCCATTTTGTGATCTGATGTAATTGTCCTATGGTGTTGTAAGTTCTAATCTTTGCCTGTGGTTAGGGAGGCAGCACTAAGTTACCTTAAAGAAGATTAGGTTACATTTGTTATGTTAATGAGACAGGATTAGGATGGGATGCAATACTGTTAACTCAGGTCAGAGCCCTGATGTGATGTAAGGAGAGTTTCCCTGGGATATGGCCTGTATCACATTTTCTCTCACAAGAGATAAAAGGAGAGAAATGTGAACAAAGGAGGGGCCTCAGTACCACTAAGAAAGAGCCACGAGCAGAGTGCACCCTTTAGATCCAGACTCCGTGAGCTGAGAACCTCCTAGACCCAGAGGAAGACTGATGCCAAGACACATGTAGATCTCTAAGGACGGCCGGGCCCATGGATGGTTGACAGGAGACAAGGACTTTCCTCCAGCGCCAATAGAGTGAGAATGCCTTCCCCTAGAGCTGGTATTCTGAATTCAGACTTCTAGCCTCCTGAACTGTGGGAGTAAAAATTTCTGTTTGTTAAAGCCATTCACTTGTGGTTTTTCTATTGTAGCAGCATTACATAACTAAGACGAGGATACACCCAAGATTGCAATCGCTGGATCATAAGGTAGTTTTTATTTTTAGTTTTGTAAGGAATTGCCACACTACTTTCCACAATGATTGTACCATTTTGCATTCCCACCAGCAACAGATAAGGGTTCCAATCTCCCTACATTCTCATCCACATGTATTATTTTTATTTATTTATTTTGTCTTAGTGGGAGTGAAATGGTATCTCATTGTGGTTTTGATTTGCATCTCTCTGATGGCCACTGAGCATCTTTTGATGTGTTTGGTTGCCATCTGAATGTCCCCTTTGGTGAAATGTCTATTCACAAGCTTTGCTAATTGTATGATTGGGTTGTTTGTCTTTTTTGTTGCTAAGTTGTTGAAGTTTTATATTTATATTGTTGTTATCTTTATTTTTTACAACAGTAAAAAAATAAAAACTACGTCCTTTAAAAGAGAAAACAAAGTATATGCAAAGTTGCTCAGATATCCTTTGTTAAAATATTTAAGTTAAAAAATTTATGACAAAAACTTGGAAACTGTCTATAACTGCTGAATGGCTAAGTGAAAAAATACTATGCTGCCACTGAAAAAACACCAAGTAGAACTTAGCAGTAGTGTGGGTATTATTTATATTATAAAGTTAAATAAAAACAATTTGATGATTCAAACTCTATGACATCCTGGAAAAGACAAAATTACAGAGACAGTGAAGTAAAACTATAGAGACAAAAGGAGAGAGGGACAAACAGGTGGGGCACAGGGCATGTTTATATCAGTGAAATTCTTGTGTGTATCATAGAGTGGATACGTGACACTATGCAGCATTTGTCAAAACCTACAGAGCTGTATGAGACAAAGAATAAACTTAATGCAAACTATGGACTCCAGTTAATAATAATGTATTGATAGTGGTTCATTTATAATTAATATTTTTTAAAAAACAATGTGGATTCCAAAGCATCTCTATACTACAATAATGGTATATAGAGAGAGTTAGAGAGTGCAAGGGAGTGAGAGATGGAGAGAGAGAGTGAACACATACGGACAAAAACTGGAAAGAATAAAGAAAAAAGTTGATTTGTAGGCAAATGTTATTTAGTTTTGTTTTTCAGATTTCCTTTACTATTGAAATAATCCTGACAGTGTATTACATAAAATCAGAGAGAAGAAATTAGAATTGCAGTTGTCCCCCATTTATAAAATATCCCTGTCTAGCATCCATGGTGTCTGGTTCCCAAGTAACACTTGGGTCCCTTTAGAGAAAACCTCAGACCTCCAACCAGCCAAATGTACTGAGTCAAGTACTCAAGCACTTGGATGGTCCTGAGAGCCTCTTCTCAGTAAGAGATAAACACACCCTGCCTTCTGGCCAAAACCTGGGACATCTCCATTCTCCTACTTGGACTGCTAATGCGGTGAGTCACCCACTTTCCCTCTGAAAAGCAGGGATAGCAATCTGTCTTTACCTTCTTTTAAAGGTGTGGTGTAGGGAGCAACTCAGTCAAGCCAGGGGTGGGGTAAATACTGCAATTAATCATCACTACTGACCTGCAGGGGTAGTCTGGGGGGAGGAAAAGACAAACGCTGGGTAGCCCGCTGTGTCCCACCACTGAGCATTGACTTGTTTGTCATTTTCATCCTGACAAGGACTTCAACTGTTTCTCTCCATTGTCCCAACTAACCTGGAATGTCCTTGAGCAGAGGATTCAATGAACTTCACTGGTGAACTCACCGTTCCTTTCTTGGTAGACAGCAATGATGTGGGTGAGGTCATAGTCAGAGGCGAAAGGGCTGCTCCCATTGATCACAGACACCTGGGGTCACAGGAGGACATAGGGTGAGAACCCCCGCTGCCTTGCCCCTACTCTGCCCACCCAGGCTGATCCCAGAGCACACCTTCCTGTTCTTGGTGGCCTACTCCCAACTACTCAGTAATCCTCAAGGATAATTAAACGCTCTCTTGAAACAATTTAAGTTCACTTACTCTCACTCTTTCCTTTCCTGGGGATGGAAACGGGGTTAATATGCACCATTTACAGGTTTTAAAGCTGTTTTTAAAATACCCTTCTCTACTCCAATGAGAGAAATCATCCCTTTGATTATGCGAGATGGACCAACAAAGTGGCTGCAATGATGGGCCCAAGCATGACAACAATTGTGAGGATGGTCCCTGTTTTGCCCTGCTGCACACAGGGTCACTATGAGTCAGGACTGACTTGATGGCACCTAACGACAAAAATATTAATTCTGAAATGTTTTACATTACTAAGAAGGATCACCTGGAATATACCCTGTGTGTGTGTGTGTGTGTAACTGGAAACAATAAATAAGTTAGTTATTTGATAAAGACAAAATTAGATTTTTTTTCTTTTCTCGCTCTGCTTAGGTGTAAAAATAGGCATATCTGTCTGGATATTTTGAAAGAATCCAAGGTAAGAACTCCTTAGAAGTCCTCTCCTATGCCACTCACAAGGAAAAAAAAAAAAAAAAAACACAATTTCCAACCTTCATTTCTCTCTCTTCGAAGAGCCTGACCAACAGTAACATACAGAAACAAAGGAGATGGACAAGAAGTGTCCTTACGTTGTATCGCACATCTAAACCATCACAGCTTAGGGGCTGCCTCTGCTGCAGCTTCAGGTCTCCATTCACATACACCTGGGACCCTGGGACAGCGAAGGAAGTCTGGAGAAATGCCATGCTCTGCATCACAAATGTTGACATCCGCTGAAATCGTCAGAAGAGAGACAATACTCAGTGTGCTCAGAGTGGAAGGCCTCTGGCTCTATGTCATCTGTGTGGGGATGAAGCCTTAATGGTTTCTCACATAGTCGGGTAAGCCATGCAGGAAGCACTGCCCAGAACCCTCTGAACCACTAAATAGCTCACAGTAATTAACATGGCACTGATAAGCATGTGATTTGCCTAAACTAAACCCCAAACTACACCTCAGAGGAGTCTTCTCTAAAAGGGGGTGGGGAAGGGAGAAAACACTGCAAAAAAAAAAAAAAAAAAGGTATTCCCCGAAATCAGAAGGAGGGCTCTACTTTATTAAAGGAGAAGACGCACTTCCCTGATGAATCAACTCACGTGCAACTGGTAGGAGAAAGTCAAGATGAGCTGTACACCGAGAACGTGCTCTGTGGACTGCAGAGGAAGCTCCAGTTTAAAATGTAACACGTCCATTTTCCCATCCTGGTTCTTGTCTTCTTCCCTAGTCTAGGAAACCCAAAGAAGGCCTTAATAAGTTCAGGAAGCATCCAGTTCACTGCTATAGATACATGATGGCCCACACGCCTGCTGTACGCAGGCATCAGCTCCTTCACCAAAAGAAAGTAAGTAGTCATAGGTGAATCAGTACTGGGAAAAAGACACAGTGGGTGTGGCCCTTGAACGTCATATTTGTGCTTCTCAAGCACAAGTTCAAGGGCCAAACTGGACGAGAACTTCAGATGGCAGTAACAGCAGCAATAAGCATCTCTTTCAATGGTATCATCGGATTTATTTGTTTCTTCGGTGGTTTTTTTTTTTTTTAAATCATGTTTGAGCTTGTTAGGAAAATTTAAATACCATACCAGTATTCCACACCAGTATTCTACTTCTCTAGAATTCAAATACCATATCAGTATTGTCTTATATTTCTCTAGAATTCAACTTTTCAGAATAGGAAAAAAAAAAAAAAAAAGCTTTACCCCAATTGTTACGCACTACCTGAAGAACCTTAACAGAAAAACCAAGCTCTGTTTATACATTTTTTAACCACAAGTGTCTTTGTTCCAAACTCTTGATGTTGGACCTCATCTTATTATTGATATCAGGACTTTGAAGCCTAGTGCATCTTTTAGCAACAATCAATAAAACGAGAAAAGCTAAGTAATATCAACAAGAGTTAAAAATGACACAGATACTTTATAAATTATGGATATAAAAGTAGAAAAAAACAGAGATCTGAAAGGGAAAAAAACAGATTACACCTCAAACATCATACATTGTTGTTGTTGTATGCCGTTGAGTCAACTCCAACTCTTAGAAACCCTACAGAATAGAGTATAACTGCTCTGTAGGGTTTCCAAGGCTGTAATCTTTATGGGAGTAGACTGCCACATCTTTCTGCAGTGCAATGACTTGTGGTTTCTAACCACCGACCTTTGGTTAGCAGCCAAGCACTTACCCATTGCCATCAAGGCTCCTTAAATCATATGTAGGGAGTTAAAAAAAAAAAAAAATTGGTACCCAGCCTCACTGTCCCTAGTCTTCCATTCTCACTGTCCACAGTATTGCCTCATTGTGATCCTGAAACTACAAGCAGGAAAGCAGAGTTACTGAAATGTGATCACTGCTGACGTGGCCCCTTGGCCTAAGTCTGGATCCAGTCATCACAGCTGATCCTTTCCTACTCAGGTTCCTAGAAGGATTCTACTACAAGCTATCAGCATTCCCGTCTGAATCCTCCATCTGCAGATTCATTTTGGTTCCCACCATTTCCATTATGTGAGGAAGAGATTCTTTGTTCTTTTTCAGGCTGATAAGGTTGGTTGTCTTAGTCTGGAAGCCTCACTGAACCCTATCCTCATAGGTAACCCTGCTAGTATTTGAAATACTAATGTCACAGTTTCCAGTATCACAGCAATATGCAAGCCATCACAGTACAAAAAACCGGCAGGTAAGTAGTGACGAGGAATCTAATCTACTTCTGAAAAAAACTGGCCAGTGAAAACCTTAGGAAAGCAGCAGCGCAATGTCTGTTAGCCCCTCTAGTTGGAAGGTACCTAAAAATGATTGAAGAAAAGCTACTTCCTGAAAGGAGAGTTGACTTAAAGACACAGATGGAGTAAAGCTTTCAGGACCTTCATTTGCTGATGGGGCATGACAAAAAATGAGAAGAAACACCTGAAAATATCCATTAATAATCGGAATGAAGAATGTACAAACTACGAATCCAAGAAAACTGGAAGTCATCAAAAATGAAATGGAATGCATAAAGACTGATAATATCCTAGGCAATAATGAGCTGAAATGGAGTGGTACTGGCCATTTTGAATAGGAAAATCATATGGTCTATTTTTTCAGAAATGACAATTTGAAGAGGAATGGTGTCTCATTCATCACACAAAAAAAGAACAGTTCAAGATTTCTTCTGAAGTACAATGCTGTCAGTGATAGGATAATATCTATACACTTACAAGGAAGACTAGTTAATAAGACTATTACTCAAATTTACGCACTAACCACTAATGCCAAAGATGAAGAAATTGTATTGATTTTTACCAACCTCTGCAGTTTCAAACTGACCAAACATGCAATCAGGATGCATTGATGATTACTGGTGACTAAAATGTGAAAGTTGGAAACCAAGAAGAAGGATCAGAACTTGGAAACTATAGCCTTCTTGACAGAAATGACACTGGAGATCACAAGACACAATTCTGTAAGGCCAATGACTTACTCATTGGAAATACCCTTTTTGTCAACCAAAGTATATGGCAACTATACACAGGCACCCCATCTGGATGAGACACACAGGAATCAAATGAACTCCATCTGTGGAAAGAGACAATGAAGACGCACCAAACCATCAGTCACAACAATACCATGGGCCGACTGCAGAACAGACCATCAATAGCTCATATGCAAGTTCAAGTTGAAGTTGAAGAAAATTAAAACAAGTCCATGAGACAAAGCATAACCTTGAGTATATCCCACCTGAATTTTGAGACCATCACAAGAACAGATTTGACCCATTTATCACTAATGACCAAAGACCAGATGAGTTGTGGGATGATATCAAGAACACCACACATGAAGAAAGCAAAATGTCACTAAAAAGACAGAAAGAAGGAAAAGACCAAAATGGATGTCAGAAGAAACTCTCAAACTTGATCTTGAAGGTACAGTAGTTAAAGTGAATGGAAGAAATGATGGCGTAAAAGAGCTGAACAGAAGATTTCAAATGGCACCGTGAGAAGATATAGTAAAGTATCATAATGAAATGTGCAAAGAGCTGGAGTTAGAAAACCGAAAGGGAAGAACACGCTCGGCATTTCTTAAGCTGGAAGAACTGAAGAAAAAATTCAAGCCTCGAATTGCAATATTGAAGGATTCTATGGGCAAAACACTGAACGACACAGAAAGCAGGAAATGAAGACAGAAGGAACACATAGTCACTGTACCAGAAAGAATTGGCTGACATTCAGCCATCTCAGGAGGTAGCATATGATCAAGAACCTGTGGTACTGAAGGAAGAAATCCAAGTTACACTGGAAGCACTGGGTCCAGGAACTGACAGAATACAAACTGAGATGTTGAACAAATGGATACAACACTGGAAATACTCACCTGTCTATGCTAAGAAATTTGGAAGACCTGACCAACCGACTGGAAGAGATCCATATACATGCCCATTCCAAAGACAGGTGATCCAACAGAATGTGGAAATTCTCAAACAATAATATCATTAATATCACACACAAGCAAACTTCTGCTGAAGATAATTTAAAAGTGGTTGCAGCAGTACATCAACAGGGCCCTGTGAAAAATTCAAGCTGGATTCAGAAGAGGATAGGAAACAAGGGATATCATTGCTGATGTCAGATGGATCTCAGCTGAAAGTAGAGAATACCAGAAAGATATTTACCTGTGCTTGATTGACTATGCAAAGGCATTCAACTGCATGGATCATAATAAATTATTGGTAACACTGGGAAGAATGGGAATTCCAGAACACTTAATTATGCTCATGTGAAACATGTACATAAACTAAGAGACAATCATTTGAACAGAACAAGGGATACTGCATGATTTAAAATCAGGAAGGGTGTGTGTCAGGGCTGTATCCTTTCACCACACTTATTCAATCTGTATGAGGAGCAAATAATCCAAGAAGCTGGACTATATGAAGAAAAAGGCAGCATCAGGATTAGAAGATGACTCATTAAAACCTGTGATATGCAGAAGATGCAACCTTGCTTTCTGAAATTGACTTCAAATGTGGTCCTTTCCAGGACACCACAGTATAAAATGCAAGACTTAAACATCCACATACACATCAGAGCAAAGATGCTGGTTGGCTAAGAATCTTTTGCAGAAAGGCAGTATCAACGAGTGTAAGTTTTTATACCTGCTCATGTGCACATCTATATTCCACATTCTCAGAGCAGAGACATGTGGCACACCACCATAATTAAGAAAGACTCTGGTTCAAGTCATTCATTGATCTATCGAGTATTTTTTGAGAGCCCAGGCACTGTTTCAGGTACTGGGAATATAATGATAAACAAAATAGTCAAAGTCCTTAACCTCATGGAGCTTACATTCTAACTAGGGAAGCAGGAAACAAATCGGTATACAACAGTATCAGGCAATAATAATTAGGACAAAGAAAAAAATAAAGAGCTTTTAGACTTAGACAAAAGAGCCCTAGTGGTACAGCAGTTAAGCACTCAGCTGCTAACCTAAACAGTTAGCAGATCTGCATGAGAAAAACCCGACAATCTGCTTCTGCAAAGATTACAGCCTAGAAAATCCTATGGGGAAGTTCTAATTTGTCACATGGGGTCGCTATGAGTCAAAAATTGACCTAATAGTACCTAACAACAGACTTACACATACAAATATATGTTATCATAGAAAGAAAAATATAGTGAAATAAATCAATCCGGGGACTCCTATCACCTCTTCACAATCGAAGTCTTTGCATCAGTTTTTGACTCAGTCAATGATATCCACAGTTTTCCATCCAATTCTGTCCTTTGGGCCATCAAGAACACGATACAGCATTTTTAAAACCCATTTATAAAGGAACTAAAATCCATTAGCGCTAGGCTCGGCTTTGAAAATGTGTAGAACTAGTCTGGTGGTGTAGTGCCTAGGCATTTGACTAACCAGAAGGCTGGCGGTTCAAACCCACCAGCCCCTCCTTGGAAGGAAGGTTGGGCAATCTACTTCGTAGTGATACTGCCTCGGAAACCCAAGGAGGGGTCGTCATGAGTCAAATTCAACTCAACGGCAGTGACTTTCGTTTTCTTGAGTCTATTTTTCAACCCCTTTTGACCTCCACCCTGACCTGTTCTCCATTTGGTTCTTAGGAGTTAAAATGCTTTACTATTGTCTCCAGGGTTTTCTTTCCAGTTGCTGATGCCCCTTCTGCAAGTTTTGATGCTGGCATTTTTGATCCCTGTATATGTGTGAGCAATGAAAACTATGCTAAACCTGCCCCCTGA